TGTCCAAATTTTTAGCATTATTTGACATTCTTAATTTTTTCTCATACAAACCATCAGAGTTATGCCACAAAGATATTATCATTTTACTCGTTAAACTCCGCTTTATCAGATGAAATATTTTTTGTCGAGTTAAATCTCCGATATTTTTTGTATTTCGGCTTTAAAGTTGATGGGTACATTTGAACAGTTTTGCTCCCGAAATGTAATCTTCACAAAACTCAATACCACAATTTGGTATCGCGGTACAGACAGCATATAATCGAACAGGAAACGTTCAAAGTTCTCAAATTTTTGCTCCATAAACTTTTTTTGCTTAACACACCACATAATCAGTAATAATTCGAGAATTAACCAGTAAGTATGCGTGGAATTACATCTGAACAACGTAATCGTATTATTTCTCTTCTTCAATCGGGTGAATCAGTTCGTAAAGTGGCTGAACATGTCGGAGTAAGTGTTGGAACTGTTTCAAATGTCGGGAAAAAGTATTGTCCGGAGCGAGAAAAAGGAAAAGGGGGACGACCACAAGTCTTGTCAAATGCGGATAAGCGTTACTGTGTACGTTTAGTAACTAGAAATCGTATGGATAACGCTGTAAAAGTCCGACAAGAGCTTAAAAGGGAACTCGGTGTCAATGCAAGTGTACATACAATTCGCCGTACTTTCAGAGGTGCTGGCCTTGGTGCAATTGAGAAGCAAAAAAAACCGGCCATTAGCAAAACCAATGCAAAAAGGCGACTTGAATGGTGCATGGCTCATCGTGACTGGATTTTAGACGATTGGAGAAGAGTTATTTGGTCGGATGAGACTAAAGTTAATCGTTTTAACTCAGACGGACGTGTCTGGGGTTGGATCCGTGATGGAGAGCAGTTGCAACCACATCATGTCAAGGGAACCAGAAAGCATGGTGGTGGTGGCCTCATGTTTTGGAGCGCTATCTCGTACGCTGGAGGTGGCTGGATTTGTAAGATAGATGGTACTATGGATCGTTATCTATATAAAGACATTTTGGATGAGGATCTTAATAAGATGGTTGACTTTACCTGTGAAAAATTACGTCTGCATCGTAATCAAATTCATTTTCAGCAAGATAATGATTCAAAACACACCTCAAATATAGTCATGGATTACCTTGCAGCACAAGAGTATCAAGTAATGAAGTGGCCAGCGCAATCTCCTGATCTTAATCCAATTGAGAACATGTGGAGACTATTAGAAATTAGACTTAATGAGTATAATACACCGCCCAAAGGCATGAATGAGTTATACGAGCGCGTTGTACATATTTGGTATAATGTAATCACTGTAGAAGAGTGTAGAAAAGTAATAGGCACTATGCTAAGACGTATAGAAGAGTGTATCAAAGCAAAGGGATACTGGACATCCTATTAATAAATCAACATTGTGGTCTAATTGAAATTTGGAAGGCGGGTGCAAAACTGTTCAAATAGACTCCGCACTTTTAAACACTAATATTAAACCAATAAAAACTGTTAATTTTCTAATGAACACTTGTATTATAATGTCATTAATTTTCTCTTTAAGACAATATATACAGTGGGTGAAAAAATTGTTCACGTGTTTTAAGATTCAGCACATATCTGGCTATTACTCGACATACAATAAGAATATTGAAATGAAATAAAAACCGAACGAAAGCTAAGATTTTACTTTATTTATGACAAATTTGGAAATTTTATTTGCTTGTATATATGACAGTTAATATGAGTTTAAAAATAAGAAATCACGTGAACAATTCTTTCCCTTGGCATATGTTGTTGGTTAATAACGCGTTGAGCCCCCTTTAGCAGCAAGTACAGCTTGAATACGGGCTGGCATACTTTCTATATACCGTCTACATTCATCCTCTGTAAAAATGTTCCACTCTTTATCAACACGTTCCCATAGTTCATGGACACCTTTAGCTCTAAGGTCGTATGCGCTGAGCTTCAACTTCAGATGATGCCAAAGGTGTTCAATTGGATTTAAGTCAGGACTTTGAGGGGGCCAGTCATCAATCCAGGTTACACCATGATCTTCAAACCATTTTTTGGTTGAGTTGGACGTATGTTTTGGGTCATTATCCTGCTGAAAGTAAATGTCATCCCAAGATAAACCATAGTAATCCAGTGAATCTTTAAGCGTAGTGCCTAAAATATGCTGATAATCAACTGAATTCATATTACCATCATACACTTGACATGCATAACCTGGTCCCCAATAGGTCATACAGCCCCAAATCATGATATGGCCACCACCATGCTTGACTGTAATATCAATATGATGTGGTCTCAATGGGTCGCCAGGTCTTGTCCAGTAATATTGGCAGCTGTCTGACCCCCAGATGTTGATTTTACTCTCGTCTGAAAATACTACACGTTTCCAGTCATCAATAGTCCAATGCTGATATTTTTTGGCCCATTTGTATCGCTTTTGTTTGTTGGTATTGCTGATCATAGGCTTCTTCTTTTTTATTGACGCAAAAAAATTCATTGATTTCAGAACATTAATTGCTGTCTTGTAGCTTAAATCATAACCCAGTGACAGAAACTTTTTATGAGCATCATGAGCGGTTAAAAGGCTACCGTTAAGTAGTAATCGCCTAACCAAAGACTTGGATCCCTGGATGATAATAGGTGGTCTTCCCGCATGGTTGCAAAGAGTGTTAGGAAACCACTTCTTTTTATACTTGGAAATAACACTTCTAGATACACCAAATTTACATGAAATAGTTGTTAAGGATTCACCTTTAATTAGACAAGCTTTGATATCCAATTGAAGTTCAGTAGAAAGGGCACGAGTCATGTTAATGGTGTATTGTGTGTAATAAAGTATATCAATAAAATATGTAAAATATTGGTATACAAAAAAATATTAAATGATGGTTATTTATATTTTATCATAACCCCAGTACTATATTCTAACTCAGTATGTATTATTAATACACATGTGACGTGTAGTTTCGGGAATAGAAAATGATTAATATTTTGTGCATGATAATGGAAAAAATTGTTCACGTGTTTATAAATTATTGGATGGCTAACTGCTAACGAAATAAAGCAGTCACGCATTTAAAACTTTACATATGAATACCCTACAATTGTCTCTTTCGAATGCATTTTGAAGTATGATTTTATGATCATTAGATGTCGAGTTATAAACGAAAAAGTACCTAGGTGCAAAACACGTGAACAATTTTTTCACCCACTGTAATTTACTATATTTTTCTATATAATTATCGCATATAATTCGGTTACAAAGTTAAAAAATGAAAACATTTGAACAGTTTTGATCCTCACTGTACTAACAGTAGGGGTTGATACCTTATGATGCTCAATAAGATCTACCAAAAGAGGGCGCTTTTGAGTAAAGTACTCAAACATCATCGAATGAAGACGGTGAAATTCTGTTTTACGCCTATAGAACATGGTTCCTTTTGTACATGAGATCTGATGGCGTTGATGGTGCTTTTCCTTATTGTTACAAATGAAGTAAACTTGACCTTTACGATCAGGACGATTATAATGGTACATAACGTTTGTACAGCCATTTAAACCACAAACGAGGTTGTTATTTGATGTAAATACATTCGCAGCTCGGAAGAAACTAACATAAGTAAACAAAGTAATTAAGTCAATTATAGAAGTATAAAGATAATATAAACAGTAAGTGATGCATACTTTTCTCTAGAATAAGTAGGATCTGATACATTATGCAAATTACGATCACCAGAAATAGCATTTGATCTTGATCCATATGGGGCTACTGCCTGACCTCTAACACGGTCACCTTGTCGTTGAGCACCTCGGATATAACTGCTGTTATAAGTAATAGAAGTGTTACTATTAATTTCTTGACGGGACATTGTTTTATGTGAAATCAGTAAGTTGCTTGAATTAAAGATCTTCAAAATGTAACGATGAATGTCGACATTACGAAAGTTAATTTCCAAAATTTTGCAATTTCAAAGCATAATGTTGAAGCAATTTCGAAATGAATCATAAATAAAACAAATAGATAATAATAAAAGGCAAAAATAGTATATTGTTAGCCATTGTAAGCGTATAATAACTCGAATGCTACTTACCGGTTCGAAAACTAGAAAAAAAGGAAAAGGAAAATAGTAAAAAGCCAAAAAAAAAGTTCTCTAAAAAGATTCAGCCACATTTTACAATTTTTCTGAGTTTATGATCAAATTGAAGATGACATTCTCCATTATTTGTTATAATATTACAATAAATAGCACAAAGTATATTTCCAGATAAAAGTTAACATCAATAACGTCAATAACTTTAGTAATATTCATATTTTTTATCTGTAATATTAAAAAGAACAAAAACAATTTAAAATACTTTTTATCTCAGATATTTTTTGTTAATTAAAAGTATAAATATGAAAAAACTTATAAATCTAAGCATAATTACAATACAACTTATTTGATCCATTTTAACTAAAAACATTATAAATTTAATAAAAAAAATTAAAAAGGGGATGACTAAAATTTGAATCGACAACCTCCAACCTCAGTTACTATCTTCATGACAACTGAACAATACAGTTATTTCTGAGTGGTCAAGAAAATGAAACTATTGTCTTACAGGCAGCAAAAAAATTTTTTTTCATTGTACTTGCTCTTTTGGACTTGTAGCATGTTTAATATGCAATCTACTAGTACTTGATGATGGTACAGATATTTTTATAAATGTAAATTATTTAATTTAGCTCACAAATTCCATAAAAAGTTAACGTTAATTTTTTTACTTAGAAATTGCAGAAAAAAAGAATCTTCTAATGAACTACAAACCACGTTATCTCGATAGAGAAGACTGTCGATTATCAAACAATACCGAAATTATTTATTTTTATCAATAATTGCTCCGTCAAGGCAGGCTGAACTTTACGATATCATTTCTCGTTCAATTAACGAAACTTTTCTTATAATTCGGTAAACATTTTGACTCCATTACGAACTACTAAGCTGGTAAGTGTGACAGTCTAAGAAGTATTTACATCGAATTATAGACATTTGAATATTTCAAGAATTTTTGTAACAAGAACTAGCAATCCTATTAAAACTCCGACATCGATCGTTTGTAGAAGGCACCCTCAGCTATATATTTTCCTTTTTTTTTTACAGCTCTAGCTGGCTTTGTTCGTCCGCAATATATTGGAGGACCCTATCTTTCACGAGCACCCTAATAAGTGATGATGTTTATATAAATTTATCAACAGCGGTAAGGTGAGCTAAAACATTGGCTTCTTCATCGTGTTCATTAGTTAAATTGTATGGCTTTAAATGCAGTGCATTAATAATATAAAGTGTTTGTTTCTTATCGCCTTCTTCACTTTTCATTTTGGTCATGCATGTAATGGAACGTAATATTTTAAAGAAAAAAAACAAAAAAAGGAAAAGAAAAAGAAGAAAGAAAGGGAACCAAAGAAATTATAGTTCGAGACTATATTTTGTTCAATAAAGAAAAGTAAAAATAAAAATAAGAATTGAAAGTTAGATATTGTTTGATGTCTAAGCAACTGCTTGTATTTATATTATTGAATCCTATATCAAAGAAGTAAAAATAACCGTCAAAGAACATGAGTCATAAAACAGTGTTATTAATCGGATATACATCTTGTTGATTGAAGAGACTGATCTATGGATTATCTATTGTGTGTTATAATGATCTGATTAAGTTTTAAATAAAGAATTTATTGTTCAATCTGGGTATATGTTCCTGATATCTTTTATATTTTATTTTATCGGATCAAAACAACTTGAATTCTTTGTCAAGATTATAAAATAAATATATAAAATAATACGATGTCTTATAAATGATACATCTGGAATATTGGATACCAATAAGTTTTATATTATTTACAAGATGTTATATACACAGCTTTATTTCATATTCAGAATTATAGTTTATCATGTCTCAAGTAATTTATCTATTGTAATATTGCTTATGCTTATATCCAGAGCTTATTATATAACAGTAATAGCATTTTAAAGAATGACAATAATAGTAGCTTATAAATAATTAGTATCGTTATAGCGGGAGTATTTAGTGTCAATAAATATGAAGGATCCGCTCAACCCAAACCCCAGACCCTAAGAAATAATGATGTACTAAATATATATATATATATATATATATTATGTCTTATATTTTTAGCTGCAGCGACAGTTCAGGGAGAATAAAGATAAAAAAAATATATCTTATTTTAAGCAGAATTACTATCAGACAATATTTAAACGTAATGATTAATTATAGCAGTACCCACTTTTCCAAATCATACATATATTAACATCTCTTTTCTTCGAAAAAAATACAAATACCCCTTATTATTATTCTCAGTATAATTACTGTGTTAATTTTATTCTAATAGAACTTGCAAGATCTTCAGAGACTTGTCACCTTTTTTTTTGCTATTTCCTTATCCTTGCACTTAAAACAGCTACAATTTTTTAAGTTAACCTAGTGAGACTGATCAAATTGAACATCAGACAAGAGAATTAAATAACTGAACAATTTAATACTGCGAAGAGTAACAAAGCGCATAATAATAATAATATAATAAAGTTATTGGGAACATTCAAATAATAATATATAGATAAATATACATATAACATTAAACACATACATATTGCAAACTAAAAAAAAAAAAAAAAAAAGAAGGAATTATTAGGATAATGAAACAAAATATCAATCACAATACATCTCACATGATAATAATAATATATATATATATATATATATATATATATACATTCATCACACACATCACCAATACACAGCCAACCAACCATAATTCGCGCACTTGTCAACTTATCAATCCGAACATCTATATATATATATATATATATATATATATATATATATAAATATATCGCGCATTCACGCAGCGGATGCAAGACAGACAAGTTCATCTGAAGGCCTTCGGCCTTTGGCGAAGCCAAGGGACGAAGGGAACTACGTTCAACTGAAGGCCTTCGGCCTTTGGCGAAGCCAAGGGACGAAGGGAACTACATTCATCTGAATGCCTTCGGCCTTTGGCGAAGCCAAGGGACGAAGGGAACTACATTCATCTGAATGCCTTCGGCCTTTGGCGAAGCCAAGGGACGAAGGGAACTACGTTCATCTGAAGGCCTTCGGCCTTTGGCGAAGCCAAGGGACGAAGGACACAACTCATCACAAGCAACGACGATAGTCGTTGCAACATGACACACAGCAATCAATATATTAGGGTTTGGGTTTGGGTTTGGGTTTGGGT